TACTTTCTGAAATAATTCTTAATTTTACAGTTAGGAAACTGGCTATTCTAAGCTCCAGAATGTTATGATCCAAATAAATTTCAAGATTATGCAGATGAATACTAAAAACTAGGATTAAACATAAGCATAAAGCCAACTATTAAGGTAAATTAGTTACAATTTAAACAAATTTTAACTTGTTTTTTCTATTAAAATAGAGTGAATGTTTCTCATTAGGTAATTAATAATTTTAGTTATTTGCATATAAATATTTATCTACTTTGATTGATTATTGAACAATATATACATTAAATTCTCAATATTTTGGGTAATAGATATACTTAGATTTTTGATAAAAAAGTAAGTAGAATCCGACTAATAATTTTTTTTTCACCCTTTTTTTGAACCAAAATATTGAGAGTTTATTGTAGATAGATATATATAGATATTAAGATAGTTGGATATTCAATTCGATAAAATGTTTAATAAATATTAAGGTTATCTAATTTACCTTATGGTTTAAGACTTCAAAAGCACTTTAATGTTCAAGAAGCATTTGCCATTGAATTACAGCAATGAATTTGAGTAATTCACTTACAAAAACCAGCTTAAGTTCATAATTAACGGATTAACTTAATTCAAGCCAGAAGATAGGTTATCGATAAAAGACGTTTTAATTATATTAAAAGGAATTATTTCATTTGAATTTTAACTAGATTAGAAATTTATCGAATTCATGGATGATCATGATCAAACCACTTAGCAATTCATTCGCAAATTCAAAAAAGACATTGAATTTGTTTAAAATTCTTCACAGAAATTTTATCCTATTATGTAACTAACTAACTTAATTCCAACAAATTATGAATCTATTCTTAACATGTTTTCTAGTAAAAAGGAATAGGACTTCATCTAAGAGATCCTCTCAAAGCAATAGTAAGGACAGGTATAATCAATTCTAACTTATTGTTATTTTTAAATTGTGTAATTTAATAATGTTTTCAAATATATTTTATAGGATGCAA